CTTAAATAGGGTATCAACATTATCAGAAAAGATCTGGTTTAATTTTGAAGATTTGATAAGATTGTGCGATATGTCTTAAGCAATTCAATTCAAACAGCTGTTATCATGTCTCAGTAATTGATATATTTTGCTGCTAGGATATTATGTAGTCTTTTAGGAATCTTTATTTGTCTCCCCAGATACCCCTTGCACACTAGAAAATGTGCTTGAATAACTTCTGATTATTGCTTTTTAGTATACAATCTTGATGTATGAAAATTCCTTACAATTTTAATAAAATGATGCTTTAAGGTCGGTCATGACTAAATTAATTGGAAATTTACTTCTCTTTCATTAATATCTTGTTTTCATTGAATTCTTAACATGTAGAAATTCTATATATGATCTTAGTCTAAGATTACTCTAAGTAGTTAAAAATATCTTGTTAAAATGTTATCGTACGTAGGATTCATTTTTTAAATAATAATTTTTGCTTCTTCTACATAAGTTTTTTAATTTTCCGAGCTTTCAGACAACTTGTACCCATCATCAGGGCAAAATGAAATTACAGTTCATGAGTGAAGATACCAATATAAACAAATTTCGTGTAATTTCAATGCACGTGCAGTATGTTAATATATTTTTTTAATAATATACAGTAGCTCAGAAGTAACACAATTTCATTGGCTAAAAAGCGGGCCATACTTTCCCGTACAGATCTTAAAAAGGCTCGCTTTCTCTCTTTTTGTAGTTGTACTGTATAAAAAAGAGTCAAAAATGAATCCGAATTTTGCCATCAAGGTTTCTCAGGCTTTTCTTTTTCCTTCTATTTTGAATGACAAGAAAAGTACAAACAAAAACRTATTTTTATGTTCGATTCTCTGTTAATTTTACTATTTTTTCCTGAAAATGCTATATATGATAAATATCTCATTAACCTCGCTTGCTCGAGCCGTAYGGGAAGTTATGGAACCTCGTTTTTTTTCCCACTTTTCATGGCACTCGTGGTACACKCTCTGGACATAAGTCAGTGAAAAAAAAAACTTGGTCCATAACTTCCTGTACGGCACTCGCGCTTGGTTAATATTATAATATTGGTCATTATTTGAACTATTGCATGCTCTTTAGCAGTTATGTTACCATAGTGTTTTGTTTAAATTTGTATTGAATACATGTATGCTTGACATAACAAAATACAGATGACACTGAACTACTCAATGAGTAATAAAGTAAAATATATTATATATTAAAATACACTGTACAACTACTTTAGGTAAACTCTGCTAATAGTGCTAATAACATGTAAGTAGGTTTCTCCACTGGCAGTCTCTTTCCTTTTCTAAAAAAAAAACAGTTTCCTTTGTTAGATCAGCAAGAGATTAGGACTGGTAATAGGCAGGGAAAATGAAAGGGAACTTAAAATATAATGTAAAAACTTGAATAGGGAAATACCCGCAGAGGAGGCTACAATCATCATAATCCATAATTATCACTTTATAATGACCACAATATCTTCCTCTGATTCCCTTGTATTCAAACCTCCTTTCCTGCGGCAATGTTGTTTGATATAATAATACTAGTGGGATGTCAATCAAAAGACACTCCAACATTGCTCCAGGGAAAGGGATTTGAGCAGAATAAAAGTGCATATTACTGTTTTCAAAAGATATTATTTTGACTTCTTCTATTTGTGTCAAGGTTTTTGATGAGGATTGTAGGCTAATAGCATGGGTTTTCAGAGTATAATTACCATTACTGTCCCCATATAACTAAAATGTGTTATTGTGGTATGACTTTTTGAAGTTAAAGAAAACAGTGGCATTAAGGATTGCTKTTGATATGCTGTGCAATGAATCTGTGAATCTACAAAATTATATTCTGCAGGAAATCATGACACAAACAGAACTCAATTGCATCTCATTCCTCTAAAATGTTGAGTAGATTGACTTTGTGATCAATGCTGATAAACACTGAATGAGATCAGTGAATCGAATTTTGGTAGAAGTCATCAAATTAGAAAGGACTTCCCACTATCATCCAGGCGTAATAATATGTTTGTTTCTCCTTTAAATTGCAATTTGCATAATTACTTGAAATTGACTGTCTTAATCGTTGAGTGAACATATTCTATGTTTTCTCCCTCAATTGCTTGGCATGTWTTTAATGCCGTCTTGATTAACCAATAAGCTGGTACTTACCGATATATATGGTTAGTCTGCTCTGATTGGTTGGGAATCAATTAGTKCCTCATTTCAACAGACTTCGGTATTCATCAAAATTGTTGAGTCTGTATATTACTACTAGTAAACCAGGCCATTCAATTAAGTTATTTTGTTGCTTAATATCATATTTTAAAGTGTCACTCATGAATGTTTTCTTTTTAAGCTCTCATGGATCTATTGATGATGGAAAATGTGACTCCCCATTGAATGTAGCTGAGGAGTGTATTCAGTCATTTTTACATCAAGGAGTTTTTAATACCCTGGACGTTAACACACCAGAACAAGATCCATTAATATCGGCTAATWATACCAATCCTACTAGTCTACCTACATCTGATAYTGAACATCAAAACAAAACCTGTGTYGCTGAAGAGACAATTAACTCACTTCTTGAGATGAATAATATTATCCCTGATACAAGTGATGATCGATTGAGTATAACTGCTGATGATGAAACAGGTGATCAGTCACAGTGTAAGAATATTGACGTTGAGCTAGAAGCTCCTTGTTCTCTTGTGWCAGCCATAGAAAACAGTATGCAGAATAAATGTCTCAGTGTTGAGAATGCTGACGATAGGTTAAGTATTACCTATGATGAGGGCGCTKATCAAGCTGATGTAAAAGGTTCAGAACCAAATAGTTCTGMTGTTGTCGTAGAAGGCTCTGATTCTAAACCTGAAAATACGTCAAATAACTTGAGTCAATCTGAGGTCAAGAATGAAAATACAGATGGAGCAACTTCTGATAAAAAGAAAAAGAAACATAAACACCACAAGAAACACTCCAAAAAGAAAAAGAAAAAACATAAAAAAGAAAAGAAAAAGAAAGAAAAGGAATTGAAGTCAAGTGAAGTTGGCAAGTCAGATGGTGAGTGTGTTGTGAAGTGCCAGAGAAAATTATTTAGACGYAGTTTCTACTTCAAATTATCTTTTTCAAGGAGAAATCACGAAATAATTTTTGCTAATGTGTTRCTTTTTGAAGTAGCCTGGAACTAGTTACATGACTAAGTGTAGCACGTAGTTGAGTACGCCATGTTGTACGCCATGTTGTCAGTTGACTCGAGCACGCTGCAATAAAGTGAAGTTTATCGCGGCAATTACATATYAAMTATACTTTTGTCCTACTATYATTWCATGCCGGACAAAATAGTTCTCATAAACCGTTTGTGGCTTTATCTTTGCAAAACTACAAGTGGTTGTATTATTTCTAGAAAACATAAAACGTTTCAGTTTCGAGGAGATTCCGTGGGGGCTATTGAATGTGTGTGAGCGAGTATTACAACTTTCATCATTCTTCATTGTACRAAATGTGAAAGTTTTCATTTTCAGSAGTGGTTCCGCAAATAACTGAATAAATTATGTTTTTCTTTGAAGAACCGTCCAAAGCTCAACAATCTTCCTCTGACGAGTCAGATGACCAGAGACAACATAAAGCTCCGATTCATCTATCATCCGTAGTAGTACAACCAAGTAAACACCTTAATGATGGTAGTAAGAGTTCTACTGGAGTCTCTSGAGTTTCTTTCCATGGAAGAAAAAAGARCAAAAGTGACGATRCTGTTAARGGGAAAGACGATGCCATTAGTGCTGCTGCSGCTTCTGCCATTCCTGTCGAGGAAGAAGAAGACTATGACGACGACTGGCTGACATACAGAAGCGAGGCTAAAGCTGCTCAAATGAAAAAACCGACTAAGAGAAACAGTCATTCACCCGAAGAAAAGAAAGAAACAGATTATGACTCAAGACATAAACACATTACCAGCAAAGAGAGAAAGAAAAGCGACGGTTCATTCGATCCTCACAGTGAAAGAAAGATAGAAAAACAACATGAAAGRARAAGAAGCGATTCAATGGAGATGAAAACAATCAGGCGAGATYCACGCGAAGAAAGGTACAAACATCWTCATCATAATGAAATAAGAAGGAGCATTTCAATTGACATGGGAGTAAAAGAAACATCGAGGAGAAAAAGTGGAGATAGAAGGGACTCGCACGAAGAAAGGGAGACAAAAAGGGAACAGARCCAAATAACTTCAGCTGACATAAAAGATAAAGAAATAGAGAGGAGAAAAAGTAGGGACAGAAGGGATTCGCATAAAGAACACAAAGACAACAGAAGAGAACTGATTTCTTTACGTGACGAAGAACAAGAAGCACCCGGAAGATGCGATAGTTCAGTTGAGAGAAGAGACAGAGAGGACAGAAGAAAGAGTTTAAATAGAAACGATTCATTTGAAGAAAAACAAAAAGACTTGAAAATCAAGAATAGTACTTCAASCGAAATGAAAGATCAAGAAAGAAGTAGTGCAAGTAGGAGAGATTCACTCGAAGGAAAATCAAAAGAGGATGAAACATCAAAGACTAATGCAGTTGAGACTACAGACGAAGGAAAGAAGAGAATAAGTATCACTGGAAATGAATCACTTGAAGAAAACGAATTGAAAACCAAACTGAGTACTTCGGTCGAGAAAAGAGAAAAGTGGAAAAGGCGACGTATTATTAGAATAGTGCCGCGTGAATTAAAGGATAAACAAACAGAACTAAAGRARGTTACTTCAGCTGACTCGAGAAATAAAGAGAAAGAGCAAGAAATTGAAAAAACTATCAATAGAAGAGACTCACWTGAAAAGGAAAAGAAAGTTGAAATTAGTAAAATTAGTTTAGATGAGGTGAGCAARATGGAAGWGCAACAAAGAAGAAGAGATGGCGGTAAAAAAGACCTGTTTCATGAAAAGGAGAACGACGAAGCTGACAGCAGTCCTTCACACGGGGCGGGAAGCAAAAAGGATAAACAAGAAAGCCTACCAAGTATTCGTAGAAAGAACTCACACGAAATAGAGGAGAATGAAGTCGATGTAAAGAGAAGTACTTCAGTAGAGGCTGAACACAAAAAGGAAGAACGAGAACAAAGAAAAAGGATGAGTAGAAAGGAMTCACATGAGGGAAAAGGAAAAGAAGATGAAGCAACAGTTGATATGAAAAACAAAGAAGAGAAACGGGGAAGAAGAAAAAGTATCAGTAGAAAAGACTCACGCGAAGAACAGGAGATGGAAAAAGCTGAATCAAACCAGGGCATTTCGATTACTGAAATGAAAAAAGAAAAGTGGAAAGCTTTTGGCAGCAGTGGCCAGCCTGAAAAAGGAAATGATAAAGTCAAAACAGCAGACAGGAAACAAACTAAGTCAATCGACATGTTTGACCCTGAAGACGAAAGGAAGAGTATAAGCTTAATTGATTTACACGAACAAAGAAAAKTAGGAAAAGAACATAAAATGAAAGAAGCAAGTGACACAGGCGAAGAGAAAAGCAAACGAAAAGAAGAGCAGAAAATGGACAAGGAAGTGGATTTGAGGAAAAAGTCCAGATCTCCCAGTGAAAAAGATAKCAGCAAAACTGGTAGACAAAACCAAAGGTAAGAGTGATATTTGGATTTGTTTGGATTATCTATTAGTATATATCTATTAGGTTTTTGGCAACTATTGTAGTTCTTACAGCGGAAATCGTTGCATCGCAACCTCTTTGTTTTGAAGTTTGTCTGGATTTTGTTCTTTCTTTCGGAGCTTTTCGAAAACTCGTTCAATTATTGGCTGATTAGTATCAAGCTCCGCCCCCAAGTCTCAGAAAAACCTAAATCTCAACTATTTCGCGTCGCGATGCAACGGTTTCTGCTGTAACTATTCATAAAGCAACTACAMGAATAGCGAGTTAGTTTTTGACATTTTTTATCTCAAGGAAAATTCACGACGGGATACTTTGGGGATTTATTTTGTCATGTTTTCTCGTAGGTCAAGCAGAAGTAGCAGTAAGTCAGTACATGGGCACAGTTCCAGATCTCCATCACAAACCACTGCAAGACCCCAGTCTCGCTCTAAGACCTCTAAAGATATTGTATCAAGCTCTGGTTCTTCTTCAGACGATAGCCCAAGACGAAAAGAGCGCAGCAAAACACCAAAAAGAACAGAGAAAAAGAAACACAAGAAACGTAGATCGCGAAGCAAAACTCCTACAAAGAAAAGAAAACATAAATCACGCAGTCCGTCGCCTAAGAGACATGAAGTCATCTCGAAAGTGACACCGCGACGGTATAGATCAAAAAGCGRCAGTCCAAAGGATGTTAGAAAACACAGGAAAAGGTCTCGAAGTAGAAGTCCTACCAAGCGAAAGATACGAGTACCTCAGAGTTTTCTTAGACTGACATCCTATAGCTTGTCTTCTTCCTCCAGCAGCTCACGCAGCCCATCTCCAGTAGTTGAAAAAACATCAAAAAGAAAGCATAGCAATAAGAGATCTCCTGYACTAAAGGGTAAGACGTCCTCAAGAAGCCGATCTCGCAGCAACACATCRCCAATCAAAGAAAAGTACTCAAGACGAAARTCAAGCGACAAAAGGTCACCCTCAAGAAAGACCAACAAATTCTCGTCTATTTCAAGAGGTCGGTCGCGCAGTACTTCTCCATTTCAGGACAAGACTTTAATAAATACATCTAGTGACAAAAAATCCCCGAGAAAAAGAAGGTATTCTAAAACGTTATCCAGAAGTCGTTCTCGTAGTTCGTCTCCAAAAGATAAAAGGATCAGAAAGAAGTCAACGGACAAATCCTCAAAACGAAAAAATCGAAAATTATCAACTGCGAATGATGACCAAACAGGAAAAAGTGTGTCGCCATCAACGAAGAAAACTCAGCAAAAGGACGTTCRAAGTATGTCGTCGGATACAATTTTATCCTCTGGCACTCAGAARAATTCATTAGACAAGGAACAGGTTATCCAACAGTCTGCTAATGCTTTCTCTTCCGTTGTTGAAGACGGCCGAACAAAGGAAATGTGTGCGGTGCCCAATACCTCTCCTTTAAAACCCACCACAGGAACACCAAGTAAAAACGCGTTGACTTCCGAAGAACACTTCAAACAGAATCTTGAAGGTCTACCAAAAGACAATAAAAGTAGTACAACTAAAAAAYGTTCACTTTCTCCTAAAACTATTTCACCAAAAAMGCGTTCTAGCGAATACTTAGATATGATATCAGACGATACTTTGGTTGATGAATCGAAGACTGATTCTAACGCAATTTTTTTGAAMCCTGAAGAGAAGGTACCTGAACTTTCCGCGGGGAACATTAAGAAAGATRTGCAACAARAACATAACGAGACCTCTGTTAAAGATGTYATGGCAGTTGATGCAGTGCCTTTAAACAGGTATGACAATTCAATGACCCTTTTCTCGGTTCTTACAAGTCAGTGCGCKCGTGAATCGCACCATAGTGAGGCASAATCGAGCAGCAATCGCCACAATATTCCTTTCTTGCTCGTTTATCTTTTTGCAATGTTACGAAAATAATTTTTGTTTGTTATACGAGTCGATTGCACGATTTTGGCTTTGGTTTTAACTGCGAAAAGGTCTATATCAGTGAAAGCGCGCGAAAGATAGAATGTCGTGCGCGCCGATCAGAAAGCGACCATAGTAGCAAATGTCATATAATGTTAAAGGGATACTTGGACGAAAATTACGAAACATTAGAAAAGACTTGGAAATCAAATAGATCTATCCATATGTGTGTAATAAGCAAGAAGCAACAGATTTAAAGAAGATATTGATACAAATCCTTAATAATTTGATTAAAAAATGTTGGAGTAAATGACGTCATTTACCCAATCCTTTTGTTCTTCCATCTTTTGAATCAAAAATTTCTCTGATGTGGCATAATTCCAAAACAAATATTTTCACGCAATTGTTTTATTAAAATAGATATAAATGAGTCATATATTTGGATTGCTTGAAGTTTTGAAATAAGAGCATTTTTCCGACTGATATAGAAATAACAAAGTCATTACAGAACTTATTTTGATTGTTTTTGTGTAGCAATAATTCCGTCGGATTGAAGGGTTAAGCGCAGTAACTCAATTATTCTAGTTACTCCAGGGCTACCAAATAACCTCATGGCATGTGCAGGTCAGCATGACCTTTCGAAAAGTTTTCCTTTTTTTTGGTCAATGCCGATTTTATATTATTAAAAGTACGTCCGGGTCAATCTGATGTGTCCTCATAACGAAATAGGGCGCACTTTTTGAACTTACAAAATCCAATTTGGCCACTCATAGCAAATTTGGACATATATTGTGCTTTGACTGGCCGTTATTTTCAGCCCTGAATATTCAGATTTGAATTGTTGTTATTTTGGTTCTTTTAGTGAAGCAACAGTAACAAGGAACATCACTCAAGCTCCTGGTTTTAAAGAGGAAAAGTCAACGAACTCATTGAAAATACAACCAACCAAAGATATTGATATTATCAAAGACTATAATACGTGCAACAGTACCTCTTTAAATATCACGAGTGGTGTTACTGTAACTCCACAATCTTTAACTAAAGAAACTGTTGTTGATAATAATGATAATATGGCTAAACGAGATAGTCAAACCATTTTACCAAAGAGAGTCATGCGAAAGGATATTCCAGTCATCAAGGATATATCAGGGTGGATTTCAAAGGGCACATTGGGTTCCGTTGTTAAGGACTTACCTGACTCTGTTTCTAAGGACAAACCGATATTGGTTGCCAAGGACAAAATGAGCACTGTTTYCAAAGAAATTATAGGCTCGGTAGCCAAGTCTCCAGTTAAGAAAGAGATTCAGGCACCCGTTTCCAAGGACACGCAGCCCCTTGTTGSCAAGGAGTCGCAAACCCCCACTACCAAGGATAAACTAGCACCAATTGAGAAGGAGAAACCTGTTACTGAGGTTTCAAGAGATTCAAAGACTCTAAGAGTTTCACAAATTGAACAAACTATGCCTCAACAAACTAGTCAAACGGTTGACTCAAATTATGACCATCYCCCCCCTCCACCTGCACCACCAATGCCTTTACACTTCCAGAATGTTTTTAACCCAATTGGGCCTCTTAACCCTCTGCAGAGTGGTCCCTCTGGGACAGGTTTCTCACCTCGGCTACCACTTGTTCAACCTCCTTTAGGAAATACACTGCAATTTCAATCATATATGGACCATTTACCTCAACATCAGGCCGAGGCACCAAGCTTTATGTCCAGTAGTCAATTTGTAAATATTCCTGGTTTAGGTCAGGGACTAGGGGATACAAATGAACTTGGTTCAACAAGCTTTGATATGCAACAACAAAATCGGACTTTACTTGGCTTGCCAACTTCCGCTAGCGTGATTCCATTCTTAGGAGACAATGAGCCCAAAGCTACTAATGGCAGTAGTGACGAGCCTGCAGTCGCTGATGTAATGGRTTCAGCGGCTGCAGAGAGCCCCGTTGACATGGAGATGTCAGGCTCATCACCAGAACCGGAAGTGGACATAATAGAAAAAATGAACGAAGAGTTCTGGAAGACTGAACAAAGTGCACTTGATGAGGCTTATGAACCGGAAATGGACGGACCAGTTTTTCCTGTTGAATCGGCACAGGTAAATGTTAGTAGTTCTACTAAGAAGAAAGGTAAAAAGATMAAGAAAAAGCGACAGAAACCATCTGAACCACAAGAGCAAGAAGAACCTAAAACTAAAGTACAGGTAAAAATGTTGTTACAGTCGACTCTTTGTAAAKCKGTTACCTTTGACAACCACGTAACCGGTTAGTCGAGGCTGGCCGTTTTAAAGAGGTGGACTTTCCAGGAAATATATTAGAGGAGCTAATCTTTAGAAATTAATAAGTGACCCCTTAAAGTAGGGTGACCGGAAAGAAGGGGGCTGCTTAATTGCATTGTCGACTGTAATGTTTAATAATTGTATTTGGATTTTTCATACTCTTWTTTAAAATTGTCTTTCAATATGCCTTATTGCTTGKATGGCGTTTGCGCAAGAGAATCTGTTGTCATTTAAAACAGCGCTTTTACCCTTTAAAATCTAAAAAGTAAGATTTGATCCATTGCTTTTGGTTTTGTGTTGTCAGGTTCTGCTTGATAAGTTACATCGACAGGCGCGCGTTGAAGAAGAAGTAAAGATCGTCCTCAAAGAATATTACAAACACAGGGAGATTGATAAGACCGAATATAAAAGCATTCTCAGAAAGGCTGTTCCACAGGTACTTATGTAATATAAGTATATGGTGCTGGTGCAAACGACTTTTTTTTACTAATGACGTATTGATTGTTTTGGCRAAGTGCATCATGGTATTGATAAATGGCGGAGAATGGAARGCCCTGAGCACTAATAGCACCCCTCCGTGGCAGGCACTWTCACGTCACGTGGCCTGCTCTCGACCAATGATAGCGGAGRATAATTTGATTAATTATGATGATTAAGGTCTAATGTTAACTTGTGATAATTAACCAATCCCGATTCATTGTCCTACCTCTAGTTACTGTTGCTACGTCGGACAAGCGAAAATATTCCTTTGATAGAGAACATGGAAAAGATACCGATTGCTGCGATATGTACGAACATGAGTTTTGTTACATTTTTATCAGGAAAAGATAATGAATTTAGTAAAAAGTTTCGATTTTGTGTTTGTTGCTCGGACACTTTCAATAATCTCCTTCACGGTTACCTGCGCCATCTTGAAAGGCAGCCGTGCCTTGAAATCCAAGCGAGAGAACCGTCCAGCGTGCAATGATAGAWACCTGTCTGTAGGTGTCGTCTCGCTTCGATGTAAAGGCACGGTTACCTTTCAAGATGGCGCAGGGAGCCGTGAAGGAGACGATTCCAGTGGGAATTCCGATCATTGTTTGGTGATTAAACTATGTGAATAATAATAATAGTAATAACTACTACCTTTCCATCRCCAGGTGGCCAATTCAAATCATTCAATTGATCCAGAGAGAATCCGTTCTTTGGTAAAGAAGTACGTGGCTAAGACAAAAGGAGCTCGTCTCCAGACCAAGGCCTAGTCAAACCTCATCGTTGATTATTTGTAATATAGAATGATATTGTATAAAAAGATGTTAAATAAATAAAACTTATCAATTAACCCAGTGTAATCGCTCGTCGTCTGTTAGTCAACAGGACACCCAGGATCAATAGTCTCCTTCCTGCGCCATCTTGAAAAGTAGCCGTGCCTTTGCATCGAAGCGAGACGACTGTTGAGCGTGAAATGATAGAAACCTTCTTTCGTGCAGACAATTATTCAATATAGGCTACCCAACTATTACTTGAGAGAGAGAAAAGAATGAATGCGCACGCTTATATTATGTTATCGCATCGGCGCGCGCGCAGCGTGTACCTGTGGTTTTACGTCGATGATCCCGTGCCTCGCGGGATACAAACTAGTCTGTTACAAGGTATGAAACACTGGTCACGTTACAGATAATTTCGCTCCTATTTCACCCAAAAATAGCAGAAAACGACGATAAATATTAACACCGCCAGATTTCCTAACTATCTNAAGATACCATTGCAAGGGATGCGGGAATGGAAAGAGAAGACCTCCCAGTGGTCATGGCGGACAAGAAGTGTGGAGGCATGTCATCGAGCGTTGCCCGGCCCACTAGGTTCGCCAGATAATGATGATGATGACCGGCAGCCATTTTGAAGAAATTATTAATCGGCTATTAATGACAAATCCTTTGTTTCGATTTGTTAAAGTTGCTCCAAGATGCATGGGCACTGTGAAGTAGCTTGAAACATGTTGAAAATTAGGTATAGTGCTATATATTTCGGAGTAGTAAGAATACTCATCCAGCGGACATAAAATCCCTTACACAATCTAAAGAATGGAGAACTTTCAATATAGAATAATAACATTATCCAAACAATTGGAACCAGTGTTTTTGCTCCCAGACATCCAATAATTTGTTTAAATCTCAAGATGGCGGCCACAGAAGAAAACAAATAAGCTTCTATGTACGTTACGTTTAGACCCATCGTTTAAAAGATAGCCTTTGTGCAGCCGAACCAAAACTGTGATTATGCTTTGGTTGGGCTGCACACAGCAGGACTTGAAAGAAACCCGGGGAGATGGGTGACTCCGGGGTTTCTTTTTTCACGTCGAAATTTAGGCGAACTCAGCATCCCAGGTTCGATCGTCGACTCGTCGTATCAAAAACAAAATCATATATATATATTTTCTTCTTCTCCATTCTTTCTTTCTTTTTAACTGAAA